ATTTAAGCTAACCAAGTTTAATGGAAACTTGAAATATCTTATAAGTCTGCTAAAACTACGGCTTTTCTTGAGACACTCCAAAAGTTTTTGGTAAGAAAAAAGTTTTGATGGACGTAAAGTTTCAATTTAACAATATCAAATGCTACGTGTTTAAACTGAGTCGTAAAAGAAATGAACAATCAGTTTGATTTCAATTCCGAAATAATTATTCGTATTACACTTTCAAAATTATAAATTAACTTTTCATCTTAGATCAGTTATTTACGCAGGCTTGAAGCGTATCTAAAAAAGAGTTCAGCACAACCACGTGAGAGTATGTAGATTAAAATATTGTAGTCTACTCTAGGAATTTCATTCAAAAATCACTGTATGAACACCTGAGCATATTTTTCCTTGCTTTGTTTGATTTTCAGGAGAAGAACAAAACTATTCGTATATCAGCAAATTGAGAAAAATAGATAAATTTTCCCAGCAAATGCTATGAGTTACAAAACGATATATTTTTACATCTGGAGTTGGGTTATTTGGAGTGAACGCTCAGCCGGTTTCTGTTTCCATTTGAAAAGTACGTGAATAGCATTATATCAAGCAATTTTTTTTCTAATTGATAATGGCATTTTTATAACCCCGTAGCTTAGGGCGAAACTATCAGTGGAAAAGTAACTTCTCAATTATGCAATCAGAGCATCAAAAATTTTCAGGTCTTACAAAAACTCTATTTCAAATAATTGAGTTATTCAAACAAAGAGACGCGGAGGCGCTCTTCGAAAACATCCCAAATTGGAATCCAGAGGACGCTGTTTTTGGGAAATTGATTCCTTTAAGAGAAATTGAACCCTAAATTGAATCCAAAACTAGAAATTGAGTCCTTATTTGAAACTCACAATAAGAACTGTTTTATACGAAAAAAGAAAAACTAGATTTTAGATTATACAAAAAAACTGTGAAAAAAGTTAAGTAATAAGTCGAACTTTTTCCGGATGAAAAAACCACTCAAGAACAAATATTTTTTCACTTTCTCAGAAAAGTAGAACTACAAGATTAATATGATGTTGTGAAAATAGTGTAAGCTATCCAGCTGTACTCGAAGTATAAAATATCTTTTAAGTCTACTCGTATTAGAACAAGGGCCTGAAAATTCCGACTGTCCTCGAGACACTCCAAAAATTTTTGGTATGAAAAAACTTTTGGACTTTAACTTGCGATTTAACAATATCCAAAGCTAAGTGTTATAATTGAGCCGTAAAATGAAATGACCAAATATTTTCATTTTATTTCCGAAAACTTTAAAGTGCGAAATAGTTATTCGTGTTACATGTTCAAAACTTTAGACCACTTCTTTATGTACGCTTGAGAATATGTAAACTCAAAGTTTGAAATCTACTCTATAAAGTGATTTTTCCTTTAGAACAATTTCTGAATGAAGTTCTTAGAGTAGACTTCAAACTTTGAATCTATAATTTCTCAAGCGGTTGTGCTGTACTCTACTCCAGATTTGCTGTGAGCTTTACCTTTTCGTAGTAAATTTTAAGAAAGACAGCAAAAGACCTCATGAAAATTACTGGGCCTTTTTTATTCAAAAGCAAAAGTAAACACACAGGCGAAGCGGAGCTTCGCAACACTTGCAACGGAATAAACAAATTACGCTACACGATAGTGAATGAAAAAGATACACAATAGTGAATGAAAACGACACAAAAAATCAGAAAAAATAAGTTGAAAAAATTACTTGGAATTAACAACTTGAAAAAATTACTTAGAAACAACAACTTGAAAAAATGAAAAAAAAATCAGCTACAAAAAATCATGGTTGTATACGATATAGCTAATATACAGCCTAATAAAAAGAATTGGAAATCATTTAACGAACGGCAACAATTTTTGGGTCAAATCATGTTGAGCCAAAAACTAAACTGTTGCCATAAAAATTTTCATTCCGTTTTTAAAGCTTTTACGACCCATGCATTCTGAAACACATAATTGCATGCGAATATATTTGCCCTCAAAATTACGCAACATAAGTTGACTATGCCGATATAACATAAGCGAAAATTAAGAAAAAACCCAAAATCAGAAATGATTAACTTACAAATGATTGAACTTCTAGTTTTACTAAGAAAAACTTAATTTTACAACAAACCCCATACTTTAAAAATTGAGTCAAGGAAACCATAGCAATTTTTTTTAAATGGTGTTTCAAAAAACGGAAAATGAACCGACAGAAACTGGAACAAAAACCACGAAAACGAAAAAAAAAATAATTCGAGAATTTTTTTGATAACAGTTTATAACTTGAAACGGGCTTTACCTAACCACTATTTAAATGATGTTAGTTTTTTGAGCTTTGAAGAATTTGAGCATATCAGAAGTGATACTCACATCTCCTACTGAGTTGACCATTCTGTGAACAAGGTTATTTACGGGAAAAAAACCTAGTGCCCCATAGCAAAACCATTGCTTATCGCAAAGGTAAAAATGTCACTAAATTGAAAAAAAAAAAACACCACTCAATTGCAATTACATAGAAAATTAAAAAGTTCATAATTGAAATCTAAACATTATCATTTTAAGCGTATAAAATTCATTACTTTTCTAGCCAACCCCTGGCTTCAAAACCATTGTTATGCCTTTAAAAACCATTGCCAGTAGGCAGTACAAAGATTTTAAAAAAAGCTAAGCATCAAACCTATGAAAAATTCGAAAAAATGGAGTAAAACGTGCAATTTAAATAGAGAGAAACTGAATTTTTAAGACAAGCGCTTGAGATAACAAAAATCGCCCACCTAGTTCTCAATCGTAAAAACATTGCAAACTAGTGAACAGAAAATGAGACAGAAAAAAAAAGAAATCAGAAAAAAAATTGGAGAAAAATGAAATTTTTTCGGAAAAATATAAGCCAAAATTATTTAGCTGGAAGAAAGCTTTTAAGCGGAAAAAGGAACATACCACGACAGGGCTACTAATTTTACAAATTGCTGTGATAAATAATGAAACACTTGCATCTACGTTGAAAACTAATTACAACACGAGAGAAATCCCCGAAATGGCAAACAAGCTGACAAAACATCAGAACACGCACAAGTCGAACTCTTCAGTTTTACCGGTAACATTTTCAATTTCAAAAAGACTGAAACAAACAAGGTCAAGCTACAACGTATAAGGCAACCGCGTTAACTCTGGGTTATGTGGGAAGAATCTCGATCTAAGCCTCATTGAAATAGCAAGTAAGAAAAGCAAGTAAGATTTGTAAAAATTGTTTACGGCAAAAGTCTAGTTCCCTATTACAAGATGTTTGCTATCGAAAGTGTAGTTGGCTATGAAATCACTTTCAATTCTCTTCACAAAAACGGAAACTTTGGTTGTGAAAAAGAATCCAAGACTGTGATTAACCGAAACTCGGCATAAAACTTTAGAGACTTTTAAATATATATTTTTTTTCATCTTTCGAGTTTCTTAGATAAAACATAGCCAACAGACAGTTGGAGAAAATTCCAGGAGCGCAAGGAAATAAAAAATTACTTTTTTCAAAACAAACTTTGACTTTCGAATTAAGAAACATATTTGGCGTAAAGCTCTTTTAATTTCAAAAAGTTTGTGCCAGAAACTTTATTTGATTATATTAACCCAATTTGATGAAACTGGTTCAAAGGGAAAATTTTTTATTAGGGAGAAAATTTTAAAAATAAATAATACTTTCAAAACTAGAAGTAGTTCACGATTTGCGTGGCATTTCATATTTCACGAGAGCGCTTAACCTCACTTTTAGCAGATAAAATTCAGTTAAAAATTCTAATAGCGTTTATAATTACACTACTTTGTAGAAACTCAATTACTTGTTATTAGAGCATTTTTAAATTTTTTCCTGAAAAAAATAATAAACAAATAATGACAGCGGTTTATTGTGCAGGTAGCACAGAATGTTCAGACCATAGCCTAAGAAAAAAGTTTTTTCAAATTAGTATTTCTGCGTTTTTTCCGCGCGAATTGAAAAAAATATTTCAGCAAAAACCTGAAAATTAGGCATTATGGACAACCATAGCGAAAAAGGCCAATTGGAAATCAGTTTTTGCAGAAAAATGACTAGAAACACGAAAATAAGTTAAAGATTCCATTTTTCGGCAGTTTTTTTTGAATAAGACTAGAAAACAAAAATTTCAAAATGGTTTTTCTCGACACCGATTTTTTTTCAAAAATTTTAAAGTTGTTCCAATCACGTTTGAAAGGGCTCTTATAAAATATATCATTCATCCCACTCCCATGATTGTTTGTGGCACCTCATTTTGCGTGAAAAGCAAACACATCCGAATACTAAGTTCCTCCAGATTTGTCAAAGGATCGGAACAAAAATCACCAAGACCTATATAAGAATCTTCACTACGTTAAACGACTTAAAAAAAATCCCCTCAGGCTCTTTAAGTTCCAAACATCTTTTGCCTGACTTTTTCAACAAAAACAATTCAAGTAGAAAAGCTCAATCTAAGGGCAATTTTTTAATTCCTACTGTGACTTCTGAAAATTAAATTCCCTTTTCGATTAACGCTTTTCTGCGCTGTTTCCCTTTCGTATTTGGAGAGCACAATTTGTCATCCTTTTAGCAACTGAGTTTGATTTGAATTTGAACAGAATTTAGAAGCCAAGCCCCTAAAAATAAACAAAAAACACGAGCTAAATAAGTGATGAAATCTTAACTCTTAATCATTGCCAATTTTGAGAAAATTTTTTAGTTTGCAGATCTAAGCGTGCCATATCAACACAGGCGGCTACTTTAAGACGCATTTGGCATCTTCTTTCTCAAAATTGGTAATTTTCGGGACGAAAAAGAAAAACAGCTTCTCAATCTAAACCATTCTACGCTCAAACTTAACCATTGAGGGTACGCTCGACCTTTTTAACTACCCCCACCCCTTGCAAAGAGAACAAGATACAACATTGCCATATTCTATGTCATTGAATTAGTCCGTATTAGGCAGGGGTGCAGAAGGAGGGGCAGTTCAAAAGGTCCTACTGTTTCTTAAAAAAATAGCGAATACTATTCAATTTGAAAATGATATTATGTAAGAAATGACTCGAAAAAAATTCGCAATATCTACACCATTCATTCAATCGATACAGCGTTTAGCTTTCTTTGGTTTTCGAGATAATTTTGACCTACATTAGGGTAAGCCATCCATTTAATTGAGTCGTACACAGCTTTTTTGTTAACATTAGATAGCCAAAAAGTAATTCTTGGTAGGTCAAAAATCTCTTCGCGAAAAACACTGCATTACAAATTTAGCACTTAAGTATCGATTGCAATCATTCTAGCTGTAAATGATATTCCAAAGCTGATCGAAATTCAATTTCTCTAGATATTTTAGATATTAGATAAAAGGTTTGAAAATGTCTGTTAAAGTTCGAATACTGTGCTAAGTAGAATTGTCTCAAAAACTGTCTGGGAAAACTAGAGAAGCTTGAATAGGAAATCAGAACAATTCAAGTGGAGCCGTGATGCAGATCAGATGTAATTAATTTACACATATTAAATAGAAATTGGTAAGAAAATAGTCTCTTAGACTGAAGCAGCACAAAATATCGAATAAAATGTTATCTAACAATATATATTCTTTATTGGCGGCAACTTCATGTAATTTTATCCAAAACAGTAAAAATTCGACTGACTCAAATCGTATATATGGATCAGAAATAATTGTTATGTAATCTAATTTCCTTAAATAGAGCTAATTAAACATGCATCTCACTTATCGTATGCGAAATGTATTGTAACAAATCATGACACGAATACAGAATTAACGGTTCGGAGGGAAGAAATTTAGAGGGGCGAATAGAGTTTTGCTTAGGGCAAATAACAGTCCAAGTCTCTTAGCCGTTTCATTACACCGCGAATAGGACTCGTTCACGTCTTGGGATGCTGCAGGCGGGCGGGCGACGATAGGCTTACACAACTATGATTCTATTCAAAATAGAGAAAAATTCAGAAATTTTAGCACCATTTAAGTTTATATTTACGAGCTGACATGACCAAATTTTCACTGAAAAGGCATGAAAATGTGTGTGCATCAAAAAGAGCGTGATTGAGTTTCGCTTACGATTACCATGAAGTCTTAAATTTTATCATATCCTTTTCTTTTTTGGATTTCAAACTGCTGTTACTGATTCACACAATAACCCCATCCGCTGTTCCTATTTCTACGATGACAAATGATAATCCCTTTCTTGCGATTGACCAGCCCCGAACTATTGAGAGACGTTTCCATCCGGGATTTTTTCATAGATACTGGAACATTATTGTCGATACTCTCAGAGCTTCATTAACATGGCCATTATGCTTTCTTGGGTACTCTGTTTTCTAGGGTTTGTGTAACCTGAAACACTTAAATGCATGGACGAGTGCTTCCATGGAAAACAATCAGAAAGAACTTGTTCTGGTCTATTATTGAGTAGTTCTGTGAAAAAGTTCAAAGTGAGAATTACAACTAACAAGGCATGGCCGGCTTTAAGCCTCCGCAGTCAGTATTCATACACGAATTTTGAAACTGGAAAAAAACAAGACCGAAATTTAATCGGTAAATTTGTCTTATGGGCAAACATCGGCCAAGGGTGTCGACTGTTTTAGGGTTGCAGCACCGCAAAAAAAAGTTTGATTCACCTAGATCCGCCCTTACTTTTCTTGGTATTTTTGCCATTCGGTCAGTTTTTCCGTTGCGCAATTGTTAGTAACGCAAATTTCATGCCGCCAACATTTGAAACCTGTTTTTTTTTATACAATGAAGGGATATAGCAAAGTTTGCAAACTCAAACCTGCCACTGAAATTTCATTTTCATATCAAAAGACCAAGTGGGTTTGAGGGATCCTGTGAAGAGTACTTGCCTGGTGTATTGTTGGCTTTCTGGATGTACTGCCATTTCTGTCGTCTTGAAATCATTCAGCTCTCTTCTGATCAACGCCTAATAAATCACAAATGAAATGTTTTTTTTCCAGACTGACTTCGTTGAGAGAAGAACACGAGTAGCCAGTTGTACAAAAAGCGCACAATGTTCCGACTAGCTTTCCTTTTCAGAACAAAAAAAACATTAATAATTTTCTACAATTGTTTTGCGTAGTCACAATTAAAACATCATGAAATGCATATGAAAAATCGCAAAACGATGCCTAATCGTAAAAATTAGCCGACTATCTACTCGGCCTTCCAACTTCAAAGTACAAAATATAAGAATTAAAGCTATTTGAATTTCAAGAACAAATTATGATTGAAATGTTTTTGAACATAGCCAATCGAAGATTGGGAAAAGAGTAATGAACGCAAATAAACATAAAAAACACTAACTTTGTTGAAAAAATCTCAATTTTCGAAATTCAAAGAAAAAATAGATGCCCTTTAAGCTCCTTGAATTTCTAGAACGATTTACGACTGGCGCTTCTTTGATAATATGAACCCAACTTGAGAAAACTGGATCAACAGGTAAAATTTTTATTCCGCTTGGAAATCAGAAGCCGATTAGTATTCGATCACGTTTTTCGAGAGCTTTAATCTTTTGCTGTTCGATAGTGGAGTTTGACTTCCTTCTAACAAAAGAAATGAACTGAACTTAAAAAGAAATCAAAAGTCAAACCTCGAAAAAACAAATTTGTACGTGAACCGACTCAAAGACTTCGTTAAAAAAACAATCACCAAGAGCTATATAAGAGTCTGAACTACGTTCATCGACTCATTAAAAACAGAAACAACACAAGTGAAACAAAACTTCTAAGATCTGAATGTTCAGATTCTCCTCCTCCACTCATGTAGCATTGTGGTCGGTCCATAAAATAGTATTGCCGACTGAATACTTCCAAAAAATACTGACACAAAGAACTAGCTTTATGCGAAAAAAAGCTTTTGCTTCCAAATGTTTTTTGACTTCTGTTTTTTGAAAAGGCCCATTTTGTCGAGTCTTTATATATTGATATCGTGGAGTTGTTAAGTGTGGTACCTTGTCGGTGGGGGTAAGTCTGGTCCATGGTTTGTCTGCTCTCCTGTCGTATTCCTCCACGTCTGTCTCATGTACATACTCGTCGAACCGCAGAATCTTCTTCTTTTTCAACTCCTCAACTGTCGGACGCTGACTCAACTACACCACAAACACACAATCAGTCAGCACAGAATGCGTAAAGAACATTTGGGTCACAGAGAAACTTCTGGAAAAGTATGACAAACTAATTGCCATGTTAAAAGACTGCCCTTTGCGATAACAACTTTCCGCACGTTTCGACAAACTCAGCAGCTTTTTTTCCACGTGAGAGCTAATTGAAACACTCGAATGATTGTTTGATTGATATAAAAAGTTTTGTGTGAACACTTAACTATTTCGAATCCGTATTTTCAAATTTGAACCATATCTTCGAACTTGGAAACATATCTTTAAACTATGATCCATATTATCAAATTTCAGCCAAGTCGTCCTTAAGAACATATCAAATAATTGACAATTCAGATGATGCGAGGCGCTTTGTTGTGTACCTTATAGTTTAGATTCGATTTCTTTGACTCCAGCTCCTCCGACTTCTGTTTGTCGGTCAGTTCTGAGTAGATGTTCCTGTCCATCAACTCCTGCTTGGAAGGTCGCATCGATATCCTGCGAGACAATTTCTGCGTCAGTTCCATCTTGATTTTCTCTCTGCTCTCCATCGCACTGCTCAAAGGGATGATGTTCTTCTCGTGCAAGTCGGCCAGAGTGGGTCTAGTCTGGATGTGCTTCGCCAGACTCCTTCGCCGCTCCAGCTTGGAGGCTGAAACATCCACTCCAAATTGAAACATCAGATTACAAATTACGCATGTATTACAGCTGCATTTTGGTCTCATTCAACACTGTGTTTCTGATACGAAACAAAAAATGGCAAGACGATTTAAATCTAGCTGACAGACAGTTGGAAAAGAGTCAATGAACGCAAGTGAACAGATAAAAAATACTGACTTGTTTTTTGAAAAAAATATTCAACTTTCAAAGAAAAAATTAGATTCCCTTGAAGCTCTTTGAACTTCTGGAACAAGTTATTATCGGCATTTTTTTTGATAAAATTAACCAAACTTGAGAAAACTGGATGAATAAGTAAAATTTCTATTTTGCAGGGAAATCTGAAAATTACTTTCCAATTTCGAAACGAAGTCAATCACGTTTTTCGTGACCTTTAGACTTGTGCTGTTCTATACTGGAGTTTGCCTTCCTTTTAACAAAGTACAAAAAAATCGAAAAATTTTGAAAAAACTATGTCTACTGAAATTTTCGTTTGTCTCGATAAAATTTCAATGTAGGCGAACATGCCAAACAAAGCATTTAAAATTTAAATTAGCAACGGAAAAAAACTGACGAAACGGAAACAAAGCCGACAATTTTTGAGCAGACACGTTGAGCCAAAAAAGTGATTTTATTAAAAAATTTCAAGTCCCCTAAAACACAATGATTAACGCTTGCAACTATAATGAACATAGCCAACTGACAGTTGTAAAAGAGAAGTGACGCAAAAAAAACTGACTTGTTTTGAAAAAATCACAATTTTCAAACTTACAAGAAAAAAATAGATGGCCTTAAACCTCTTTCAATTTCTAGAACAATTTACAATTAGCACCTTTTTGATAAAGCTAACCCAAATTCAGAAAACTGGGATCATTGGGTAAAGTTTTTATTCCGCTGAGAAATCTGATTATTAAATTTCGATTTCAAGACTTCCTAAAAAACAAATCATCGCGACCTATATAAAAGTCTGAACTAGGTCCATCGAATTAGAAAAACTAGCATTGTCTCTGATTCGAGCCCTCGATCCTTCGCGTCATGGCCCCGCTCCTTACCACCACACTACTGTACCCACATGAAAATTACCTTCCTTAAAAAGCAAGCAATCTCAAATTCTTCAAGTGATTCTGTTAAACTAGTTAAGTAGAAAAAAGTCTATAATCTAATTTGATAACGCTTGCTTATCGCGAGCGCAAAGAAATCAAAATCAAACCGCGAAAAAAAATTTGAACCTAAAATATTGTCGCGACCTATATAAGAGTCTGAACTACCTTTATCGACTCTTTTTAACTGTTCACAAATAGTTATCTAAACATTTCGAAAAAATGTTTAGATAATAACGCGTTTTCATTATAACGCGTTTTCATTATCCTAAATTACCCCTTTTGAATTGAAAACACATAACTTGAACAAAAATTGATATATTTTTAATACTTTTAAATTTAAACCTAACTCATAACTTTTTAAATTTTTTCAGCTCATTGCAATAATTTTTGAAAGATTATACAAAATTTGTTAAGGCAGGCTAGTTGCAAAAAAAGAAGGAGCGCAAACACTCCGTCATTTTCTTCGAAATAATACAAGAAAAAATACAATAGCCTGTATAAGTTATCTTCATCATCGCTTGTATTTTAGCTATTGTTTATATGCATATATTGCAACATGACTGCTCTTATTAAGACAAAGCACTGAATACTCGACTACTTTAAAGATATTTGCAATTACTTTTTTCCCAAAAAAAATTAGATGTTTTTTTCTACATTTCAAGTACTAGTGATATACGTTTCATCTAGTAACAAGACACATAGTAAATTTCCTCGTTTCAAATTGAAATGATTGAAACTGCCACATACGCTACGAGTTAATAGAAAAAGAGAGCTCGTCGTATATCTTGGCCAAGCCCTGAATGTTTCGACTGCCCTTTCATTGGTCTCAAACAAACATTGAAGATAATTTTGGTTAACTATATATAATATCAAAAATGAAGTGTTAAAATTTGAGGCCTAAGTCAAATTTAGAACAATTTTGTGCCCGGTATAATAATTTGTGCAACGCTTTTAGCATTATGGAATAAGTCTTCAAAGTAAAAAGCGAGCAATTAAAGACTTCAAGTGCATTTAGGATAGAGAGAGTAGTAAACCCGCGTGAGTTCAAATAGGTTCCAGGTTCAATTCCCATTTTTAGATTGTCTTTAAGAAAGTGGTCTTAAAACAACCCCACGCACATATATTGCTCACTTTCTTCGAAAGTCGGAATAAAAAGTCAAATAGCACACTTTAATTATCCCAGCTTGACAACTAAAAAATGATTGCAGGTGAAAGAACATTTTAATTTTGAGCTCAAGTCACCATTAGCTTTTAGCCGTTATTAATCAGCCGTTATCGCTAAAGTCGGAAAAAAAACTGAACACAGAAATTAAAAACAGATCGAAAAGTGAAACCGATAAGACACGCATTTGCCTGTGTTAAAACTGAAGGTGAAGCGAACATCTTACCAAAGTTTCCCCATATTTTTTGAATTCGTCTATCCATTTAGGGTTTCTTTTAAGAATTCGAGAGTATAACGACAGCGAGTGTATTTAGAAGTAGTCACTCTTCAAAATAGTAATTTCTAGATCTCCTTTGCCAAACTCAAACAAATATGCTTGGCACACCATTTGGACTTAAACGGTTCATAATCTCTGTAATTGGAAATCAATCATACTCAATTATTTACCTTTAATTCATTCATAATTATTTAGACTACGTGCAACAGTTCCCATGTCGACGCGTATGAACTTCACGTATTATTACCATATTAAGTTTTATATCCATAACCAAACAAGACTGCTTGTATCAGGGCAAAGCCCTGAATGTTCCGACTGCCCTTTAATTGGTCTAGGATAGTTTTTGTTAAATTAAATATTGGCATAACTATGAACTTTAGGTTGATTAAATAAAAAATTGAGTATTGCAATTCGCGTCGTGTATGGGTTGAGTTCATAAAGCCAATTAGCTGCCTCAATTCAATTTGGAAAGATTTTGTAGTACAGGATACCAAAACAAGCAAAGTTTACTATAGTAGTGTGCACACTCGGCTGGCGACATGCAGATCAATAGATGGATCCCCAGATAGGCCAAAGTTTTTTAACACTCCGCGCATACATATTCCTCACCTTCTTCGGAAGTCGGAACAGTACTGGGGCATTGAGTGCTTACTACTTATCGCCTCAATCAATTTTAAATTCGAACACAGAGGCGAATCGGAACTGCTCGCCATTTGTAGTTTAAAAATGAATGACTGTGATTAGGCGCAGAGGAATAAACAAATCAAATCAATAAAAAGGTTCAGATAGTTTGTTGCTCAATTTAAAAATGCAAAAAAAAATAAACAAAAAGCTTGGCGCTTAGCCTGGGTTACCTGCATCATTAGGAACTTAAAAACTCGCTACGGCTGCGAAAACTAAGCCGACAAAAAATAAGCAGATAGGTGAATCTGAAAAAGTTTGCAAAATACTACTGGCCGGGCTCGATCTCTAGGGATTTTGCTGTCTCAAGCATAGGTGTGTGCCGATACAGCCTCTAGAATAAACAGGACGAAACAGTCATTGATATTAAATTTATTCTACAGCAAGTTGATAAACGTATAACAACGTGCGAATTTTGTGGACAAAGGTTATAACGTGAAAAAAGTTTAGTAACCGGTTGTTGTACCTTTGCTTTCGCAATTATAAATAAGAGAAGATTTCGTTTAAACGTCTTATACAATGAGGAAAAATTGTCTACTCACGATAGAGTTCTTCGTCGTCATCGTCGTTGTTGTTATTATGATGATTTTCGCTCAATCTGCTCTCATACCTACTGGCACTATTCAGGACACTAGAAGTGTTGTTTAGCTGTTGTTGCTGTTCTCTGTTCTTATTATTGCGCTGTCTCAGACGTTGCTGCAGTTCCGATTGGTCGAAACCAGACGCGTTCCTATTGGCTATCACATTGCCCCTGCTCACCCCCGAGGGAGCTGGGAACCCTATGGTTGACACTGTGGGCATGAACTTCACACCCCCAGCAGCAGACCCTCCCCCAGAAGTAGAGGAGGTGGGGGACACGGCAGAGGCTGCTGAATGGGAGTGGGCGTGGTTGGCAACTGGTGCTCCGCTGTTGCGGTTGTAGCCGGCAGGAGGTAACACTGGCGAATTCCATGAATTGTTCATCTTCTGGGGTTTGTCACTGAAACAACAATCAACATTCCAGTGTGAAAACACGATTTACAACAGAAAATAAAAAACAGCGTTTTTTATTTTAAAACTTTTATCGCAAAAAACTAGCATTGTCTGGGAGTCGAACCGCTGCGATAGGGATATGAGCCGCTTTCCCTTATTGACTCGGTTCGATCTCTACAATTTTGCACCGGATCATCTTAAACATTTTGTAGCAAAAAAGAGATGATTATCTGACTCCCGTTTTTCTTGCCGCATATCTATTAGATCATCGGTGTGAGGGCAGAAAGTTAGAACTGAACAAACTGTTAAAAAAACAATAAAACATGCTTTTTATTTTAAAAAAACGCTGTTGAATTGATTTTTTCAATAAAAATCGTTTTTTCCCAACCCTGCAACGTTCACAGCTAAAATATTTCTCCCCCTTTCTTTGATTTGCCTAGTGTTTAAATTATGCCGAAAAAGTACTTTAAAAATGCTTGAAGACACCTATAAGACCAAAATGCAAACCAAAACTTGACTTATCTCTTTTTATATTACAGAAGATCATTTCGTTACTGGGTAAAAAATACGCTTACTCTTAACATTGAATTAGTAATTTATATTAGCCAGTCTATATTCTTTTCTAACAATGATAGCGGGATAGCTAAAGAGATCCGGCGTAATTTACGCATGATATAAATACATCCAAAAAAATTCAGCAAAAATCTGCTAGATTCGGAGTCAGGAATTGAACAATTCTACTGGAATGCCTACATGTTAGCTAGCCGACTGAATGCGTTGTCTGGCATGGGCTCATCCTCCTCGTCATCTTCGTCCGATTCGGAATCTTTGCCACCACCGCCGCCTTCGCTGGACGAAGTAGACTCCTGCGCAGCTCTTCTGGGCTGCTGCGGTCCAAACTGATTGGGCGACCTGGTTACTACATGCGGTTTGATGCTATGACTCACAGCTGCTGTTGATGATGACGTGGATGTCATGACGAAGGGACTCGGGATTCCTTGAGACGAGGGACGTTGTGAGTCTCCTGAGGCACCTACCATCGGCTTCCCGGATCCACTTGCGGAGTGGGGATATCTGTTGGGATTATTAGAGGCAGCTGAGCTGTGGCTGAAAATGGTGTTAAGGTTGGAGTTGATATTACTGCTAATGTTGCTGTTATTCGAGCTGTGCTCGCGGAGAGAGGAGGATGAGGGCTTAGTGTAGGTGTACGGTGGGCCGTCTGTCGTATCTACTGCTGATGTCGCATTTGGGGTAAAGCTGTTGGATCTGTTGCCAAAGCCACTAAAACCACACAAGACACATTATTATTATCACACATTCACGCAGGATCTTTCAAATAACTCTCAAATTGGCATTCAGTTTCAAAAGTTTAAAAAATACATTTCTCTGTTCATGCTACCAGTAGCAAAAACCAAATGATATTGCGAGTTAAATCAAAATCGCACACAAAAAATGACTGTTAAATTTGCGAAATATGGAATAGCTCAAAGATCAGGTCAACAATAATGACATCAAACCTTAACGCACAAATCAGCACATCTTACCCGGCAAACTTTTCAGTCAGCTCCTGTTTCATTCTCTCAGTCGCATCATTGATCACCGGCCCATCCGTATTATTCTGCATCTGCTGTCTTACTGACCCTGTGGCCCCCGTACTTCCAACCATGCCAGCCCCCACCGGCTGTTGGCAGAACTCTCCCTGGTTGCTGTAGGGATCTAAAACTAACACCAGTTACCATTCAGACACATCCATGCAGTGCAATTCACTCAAAACAAACAGTCGAAAAACGACTAACTTTCGGGAGTTATGACATAATTTTATTAGCTTTTTTGAACATCACTGATAGCTGGATTTGTACAGTTATGCTACTTTTTCTGCCCATATTACGCTATCTAAATTCAATGAAACTCGAAAACCGAAAACGATTAACCTTCAAAAATCTCAAAAACTTTAGATAGACAGGAGTGGATCCAGTATTTTTACAAGAGGCGCCTCATCAAAAAATCCATATTTTGTCCGCCATTTCTTTGTGTGAAAAACACCCAAAAATGCCATTTTGGGGGATTTCGGACAAAAAAGTCACGAGTACTATCGGCGCGCGCTTTACGCTCAAAACTAATCTATTGGAAAATTTTTAGGCTTTTTCCGCCCCCTTCCATCTTTCAAATTTCCATTTCATTGCCATATGACAATGAATAAATAACTCTTCAAAATTGAAATTCTAAGATGGGGTGGGGGTTGGCTCTAAGGTGGGGGAAAAGTCCATTTTTAAGCTGTTAGACCAAAACACGATTTCGTAAAATAATAAGAGAACCGTAAAAAAGGGAACCCTTTGGGAGATCAGGAGGTCGCATCTCCCCCCCCCCCCCCCCCTAATCCGCTCCTGCCGATAGGTTTTTATTTCCACTGGGAAATCTACAAATCAAAACGTTTAACGCTAAAAGCTAGGCTCTAATTTCCCTTCCATCTGCACTTTTGTTATTGAAGAGTGTAATTTCGTGTTCCATTAGCAAATGAATTTGAAATGAGCGTAAGAAATCAGGTTAAGAAATCAAGTTGAAACGCCGAAATATAAAAATGATCGTGAACAATTTTTAATAGTTTTATCCTGAAAAAAACTAAATACTCTTGGAAAACAGATCTGAAACTAGAAGTCAATCATGTTTTTCGTGACCTTTACACTTTTGCTGTTTGATAGCGGAGTTTGCCTTCGTTTTAACAAAGGAAATGAACTGAATTCAAAATTCAAAGTGCGAAATTGTAAATTTGAGCATGAACAAACAAACCTTAAGACTTTTCTTTAAAACAAAAAACGAAAAAAAATATCATCGCGACTAATATAAAAGTCTGAACTACGTTAATCAACTTTTTAAAATTAGCAACATTTACAAAACTATCAGATGATTTTCAAAAATGCTTCAAAAAATGACTGTTCGCAAGCATCGGCAAAACTGCACTTCGCATACGTAAAAGCCTCTGACGATTAAAAGATGCTTTTCAGCATCCGAACAAAAAATTATTCATCGTGCTTTTTAAAATATCTTTAAAATATATTATGGTTATTTGGAGACAACTGAAGTGTAACACAGAATTAACAGAAGTTTTATTTGTAGTTTTAGCATGGGTAACGAATGAAGTGAATTTCACTTCTATCCCATTGCGTTAATGGTATACTTACTACCTTCTAAAAAATGAACAAGGTATTTCAAAACACTCTAGGAAATGGAATCATTAAAAAGGGACCAGCTATATTGGACAACCTTTACTTCATTGGAAAAGGCACTATCTAAAAAATCGTTACATTTTTATTTTTATATTTCACTGTATTGAAAAAAAATTGAAAAACACGCAAACAGTGGTCCTTTGAACAATTTTTTTTAGTCTCGATTTGAAAATACAGAGTCTCTCGGTTATTTTCAGTATGTGGTTCAGGCTAAACTATAACATAGTCTGTTTGTTTGATATATACATTACATATGCTATTGTATTACAATATATTATAAATAAATTAATCTGCTCCAACCACTGATTCGATCTTGTTTTTCGGATGTGTTTGAATGAGTTTTTTTTCATGCAAAATTTGGGACCACAAATAATCATCGGAATGTTTCGAGAAAAATATCATATAAAAGCCCGGATCTTGTTAAGTATTTCCCCCCTCTTGCAATAGGGGGGAAATAGTTAACAAGGTACAAAATTCGGATATGCTTAACAGTTCAATTCTTTCTTTATAAGGGGGGGGGGGAGATTCGTTACAAGGTACCATAGGGGGGATAGTTAACAAGATCCAAACGCCATTTCGTCATGAAAAACACGACTTATGATAGATAATTTTTATTTTAACTAGTGAAAAACTAGTTATTTTTACTCCAGAAAATTTAGTTTTGGAAGCTTTATTTAGCGTTTCCTCGGCAACAAAATTATTCTGCAAAATTAGAAAAAAGTATTTTTAACTTTTTGTTTTTTTTTCTGATGTTTTGTTTGTTATTCACTCTTTGCAGGCAACTGATGTCGAGTACGCCTAATTCGCAAACTGTCTATGCGTTCGATAAGTTTTCGTACCACAACACGCACAAAAAGAACGACTTTTATTTGACTTATATAGTTTTTGAATGGTCGGAACATTCTGTGCTCCTTTTTTCATATATGCTGTCATTCTGTGTTATATTATATGCTGAATATATATTACACGATCATCTACTATAATCCCTACCTAGAGGTAGAGAGTTGTGTCTTTCCATGGGCCTTTCTTTCCTCGAGCTCTTCCAGGCCCAGGGGCGCAATATCTTTAATAGAGACCATTTCTTCTTTCTGTGTTCTGTTTGTTCGCCCGGGTTGACCGGCTGGGCAGCTACATTGTCAGGGGAGGTCGCCAATTCCGATGGGTCATTGGGGGTAGTGCGCGGTGTCTGCTGTGCACTTCGCACTGAGGCGCCCTTCACCTTAGTCATCACTCATTAAATAATGATTGCATAGTAACTGAAAACAACACACTTCCATCCAACAAGTTCACCACATGAACTTAAGAAATGATGGTGTATAAACCAAACGAAGTGTGAACTAGCCAAAAATTCATAATTGCTATAGGATCTCTATCTATTTCCCCTTTTTGGCAAGGGGGCAGATTCGTTAATAGGTACAAAATTGACATATGCTTAATCATTGAAATATTTCTTTATAGGGGTGGCAATTCGTTAACAAGTACCCTATTGGTGAGAGAGCTAAGAGATCCTTGTCGGCTGGGCTATATACTCTTGTCCATTTTCGGTTGGTTTATACTTCAGCGGATGGTTTACTTACACTCGAAAAAGAACATATTTAGGTTAAACAACATGAACTTTTGAAATCTTTCTCAGAACTCAACCCAACTCTATCTCGTATTTTGTATGAATTTTTAGACATTTCCAGATTTTTCTTGAGAAACACTTTCGATGTCAATTTTTTCAACATTGAATACTGATAGATTAAAATAGCAATATAACATCTGTAAATTAAACTGTAGAAGGAGCCTCAACTTCCTTCAAAAATATATGCTTTCAATGGCTTTTTACACAATGAATTTAATTAGTATCAGTATTCTACAATAGCATTCAGTATTTTTATTTCTCAGGAACTGTACAGGACGAAGTTTCCGTCAGCCTCTATACAAGACGAAGTCAAACTCCGTTGCTCGCTTTCCAATTAATTGACAGATATCGAGAACTTCTTTATCTTCGTCCTTATTGGATCCAGTCTTTTGACGATACTGAATGTATGTCATCGCTGTTTGATCAAACAGAACAAGCAAATCTTTCAAAGATCCCGGAGGCGCTTTTGGTGCACCTTCTGCAGCAAAACGAGTATACCTCTGGACATCTAGCAAGTGAGACACCTCTTCAATAGGGTGCCACGAGTATGCTTCTGGACAAAGGAGAAAACTTCCCGAGTATTCTCCTTTATACTTCATCTTTGGACAAGAGTGAATATAGAATCCCATGTAGTAATACTTTAAGTTCACAAGCGACGAGTGAAGTTTACGGGTGAACATGATTTCTTGGAAGGCTGAAATTCGTCCGAGAGACAAAAAGTTATAGCTGGGATCATAGAAGAAGTAAACGCTTGAAACGCACAAGTCAAGAATGTCAATCACGCCGACGGCTATTAGCTCCCCATTCAACCAGTACTGCTGGTGAAACGAGCCCCCAGACACTTCTTGGTCAAACTCCGAGTACTTCAGCGGAGAGTCAATAAGAAAACGCTGAAACTGTTTTTCAGTAATCTTGTCTTCTTCATCCTTGTGTATGGTTGTTTGATACTTCTTGTATACTGTGAACTCGTTTTTCCTCTGCGCAGAATCGAATACTGAGGCATCAGCGGAGCTGACAAGCTTAACTTCCAGTTTATTTTTTGCTGAGCTCGTGAACGCGAAATAGTCTTCTATCGCCTTTGGTTTTTGCTTCTGAAGCTTAAATTCTATCCTCTTCTTGAAATGCTCTTCAATCTGCAAATCAGTCAGGTTCCTCGAACGTAACTTCTCAACCTGTCGCTGATATCTTTGAAAGCGTTTTTTCCTACTTCTGTCTTTTATTTGTACATTATTCGTCTGATTTGGCTTCTGTTTGGGAGTTTCGGCCGCCTTAACCAAGCTTCTAGTTTGCGCATGCTCCAGACTGTTGTGTTCATTCGACAAAGTTTTCGGCTTGACGTCATTTTGGATGTAATTATGAAATCGCTTCAAGCATTTCTTTTGACCTTTGGTCAACTGGTTGACAGTAACATCACATTTGATAGTGTACTGTGGACAACATGTTTCATTCATCACCGGTTTATAACAGTATTTTCCAGACCTGCGCCAGCCCCGATCAATTAAAGACTGGTAAACTGCAGTGGTCATGTAATGAGCCCACATTCCATGTGTCGATCGCTTGCCATCTATCAAACCGTGACAATATCCACATTCTGAGCCGTCACTTTTCCCAAAATATTCTACAAGAGTATACTCGTTTTCGGGCATTGCTCTGAAATTTCCAGTTTGAAATTTCACCCATTCAATTTTTAGACTATACAATAAAGGAACAATTTCAGATGGTAGCTTTTATGCTTTCATAATTTAAATTTCAGAGCCATAAAGGTCACAATTGCAAGTTACCTTAAGCAACAATAGATTTTCAGAAAAACTGAACCAATAAAACAAGACACAGCAGTGATGGGTCCAGCGGTGCTACCCTCCCGCGGTGGGCCAGACGAGCGACTACAATCGCCGCAAATGGCACCAGTGCAAACCCTCCGCTTTGGGAGCGCAGAAAGCATACTCGTACCGGGTTTTTGAATTCAGGGGAGCTTTTTTTCGAACATAAAACAGCAACAAAGTATTGATGCATTATGCATAGCTTCTTCATATTCCAAAAGCAGTGAAATTTTAGATTTTTTTCTCTAAAATGCCTGCTGTAAAGATGACTTAGGAGAACTTTCACAGGGTGTTTAAACTTAAGTTTTTACATAGACCAGGAGAGCAAATGATCAGAGCTGCCCTCTATAAAATAATAAAAATTTGATTTAAAAACCAGTACTTCATACGGTCGGAAAGAAAAGGGGAACGAGACGCAAAAGAAAACAGTTACCTTTGCGGACCAGGATAAAGAAGGTGAGAAGGTTGAACGAAACCTGGTGCAAGATTGTTTGTCCGGGGAGACGAACGGTGAGAAGAACCGGCGAGTTCAAGATCAACAACCGGGACAAGGAAGTTTGTCCGGGGAGTCTGATGTAGATGAAAAAGTTCCTGAGGAGAAACAGGACCTGCAGAATAAAGTTTTGTCCGGGGAGTTCAGATGGATACGAAGAAGTCACAGAACTGATCTGGAGGAGGGGACGTGCTCTATCGCAGACTCTTCAATGGATGGCAAATCCCGGAACTCAGGAATCGACACCTACTCAGACAGGAACTCGAGCTCAGGATCGGAACTGTCAGAGCTAGCGATCCACACACTGCTAGTGGAGACTCGAGCAAGGAATCTGGACAGGGAGGTATATCAAGACCCTGACAGTGATCGCTACCTCATACCAGGTGAAAGAGTCTTTGATAACGCAGCGGATGATCTGGAAACAATAGCGGTATCGAAACGTTCGATAAGTCTGTTGCCACAAAAAGAGGTACTCAGGACTGATCTTCAGCCATTCGAACAGGAAAAACAGCCGTTGGCAAAGATTTGGTGCGTTAAGATGGAAGAAGATACGCATCATCCCAATGAGCTGAATAGTCAGATGAGGGTCATGAAGACGTACTTGAAGGCGAGATACAGACTCTCGGACCTACTAAGAGGGCACAGGAATGACCGCATGACAAGCAACCTGAAAAGGTGTATCGAAAATGGTGCTCCGGACAAAGGAGACCTCGAGGAAGACAGTTACCGTATTCTGAGACAGTACTTTATGCAGAAAGAGGGAAGGTTATATCTGAACAAGGACGGGATCGTGGCTTGCAAGAAAAGAGAAGAAGACAAAGTCCTGTACAAGTATACCGCGATAGTGTTGCCGCAACTCTATCAGACAGAACTTTTAATCAGGTCGCATGATCAGATGGGCCACCAGGGGATCGACAAAGTATATCAGAGGACCCTGAAGAGCTTTGAGTGGCCAGGAATGAAAAAGGCATGTGAGAAGCGGGTAACAGCGTGTCTGTCATGCCAACAGGTCAAGGACCCAAGGAAATTGCAATTTTTTTTACAATCGATCGAGTCGTCTGAATTCAACGAGGTGGTGCAGATAGATCACCAGAAGATATGCATGACAGAAAGTGGTTATAATCAAGTCTTGGTTATGATAGATCACTTAGAGGCGGTGCTCTGCATAACTGCCTCAGCGGAAGAGACGTGCGACCACCTGATCAATACGTGAATAGCGAGATATGGTTGTCCGATGACGTTTCAATCGGTTAACGGAACAGCTTTCGTAGGAGAACTCACGAAAGAGCTAATGAGACGCTCACAGGTTGCTCAAGCTCACTCCACGACATACCATCCCCAGACGAATGGCTTAGTGGAAAGGCAGAGTCGAACGTTAGTGTCGATGCTGAGGGTATATTGTTTCAGGTACATGACCGATTGGGACAGATACCTTCCACAGGTGATGGGAGCTTATAATAGCACGCACCACTCCACCACCGGAGTTAGTCCATGTAACAGTCGCCTACTTTAGTCACATATGAGGCTTGAGAAAAAAAGGCCCTATAACCATTGGCTCAAGAGTCAGGGACACTATCTCTTGTGTTTTTCCGCCTCAAGAACGGTCGGAGCCAATTCGGTTCGCTTGCGACATGAGACTGGAACCCATTACAGCTTAAAGGCCACTACCAAAATACCCCCCCACTCTAGAAATAAAAACGTCCCCATACTTAGGTCTCGGGATACCCAAAATACATGAACGCCGTTAAAAACCGGGTCGGAACAATCCGCTTAGTTACTTTTTATTGGACAGTGGAACTTTGATCCATTTCAGATGGATCAACCTAAAACTCGCCTTATCTCAACATAACTATCATAAAATGCACTCGAGAAATTTAAATTGGAACTTACATATCGACGCACTTGAATATGAGGAGTAAGTTATAACTGAGCAGCTTGAGAATTAAGTAATATAACTAAATAAGTTTTAAGGCCAATTAGTTTCAATAACAGAAGTAAGTTTTGTCTCTAGAATCAAAGTCTCTGAATGAACCCTTTGGACACTCGAGTTGTCCACTCTTCCATTCAGAGTCCACTCCTTTCCATTCGAATAATTGTTCTGTCTCAAGTCCGTATTCGATTCTCCTGTTTTCAGGACAAGACAGCTCTACTCTCTTGATATTTCGTATCGAGAGATTGCGAATAGCAATTTCCTGCCTTTTTCTTGAGTAGTTTCCCGCAATTGTTAATTCGGGTGTTCTGATTTCTGACTTTTTCATTTTCAGTTGGTTCGAGAAAATTGAGCATGACATGCTCAATTCGAATTTTGCAAAATTAAAATTTCACTCCAAAATTGCGTATTTCTCAAGGTCAAACCCCTAGACATGACCGACTGGCACATACTCCCCGGACTCGAGATCGATGTCCTCATCGTGTGTCGTCATCTGCCAATAAGTCCCAGAGAACCGAGTGTTGCTCAAGATACAGTGCCAGTGGTCATTTACAGAAGTTTGCATCGGACTTAAGTTTATCTACCTTGCAAAGTTCACGACCATATAAAATTTTCACACTACCGCTAAACAGCAATCAAAATCTGCATACACCTGCACCCATGAATCCCCGCTTTTTAAGCTGGTAATTTTTAAAATTTCTTTTGTCCTATTTCAGTCAGAGAATTGTCATGCATCAATTTGATTTATATACTAGATCTATCATATTAATAACAATATCTTATTCGTCTAAAATTTCTTTTCCGTGAACCCAGATTTTATCCAAGTTCACGCTCAAGCCCCCTCCCTCTCAAGACTCAAGACTCTAGAATTTCCTTTCGAGCCACTGGCTCACCTCATGTTCTTCGCCTTCGAGGTACCTGATACCGGTGTTCTTGGCACTGTAATTTGTTCCAATAGTGCCTCTTCGTCATCGGAGCTAATCACAATTTCCTCCCAGGCCTTCAGCTGTTCATAGGCTCGCATCCACTCTCTCTGCTCTTGCAACCTTTTCAATTGACTTGGTAGGCCTTTCACCTTCGACTCCCGGTTCAAGCAGAAGGAGTTATGAAGACTCAAGCTCACATTCCTCGCCAGGTCCTCCTCCAGTATCGTTTCCCTCGCTCTAGAATTGTCTCTGGATATTCTGCCTACTCTTTTCCACCCCGCCGTGATTGCGTTTCGATGGGTTAGCAGAGGTCTCTTAAAGGCATCTGGCCCTATTTCAGCTTGGAATTGTCGATATTCCTTCTGATGTTTCCTCATGTGGTTCTTTGTCACTGCATACAACCAGGATGTTAACGTCGCACGAAACCAAGGAAAGAATCTCAGGCGGCTCCATATGTGTCTGACTTGCACTGGTATGGCGAATACCTTGCATGCAGTCTCGAACAACTCCAGTCTCCTGCTGTAATCTATCGCATAAATCGATTCAGCTGTTGGCGCTCTCGATTCTCTGTACTTCGCTATATTCTCCTCAATCCATCTCAGAGCCAGCATCGTGCTTACCACTAAGATGGTCACCTTTTGTCGATACTCCGGTAGTCCTAGCGACTTAATTTCTTCCACGTCCCAGATCAGACAGAGATTGGCGCGGTCCGGGTACCACACTGTCTGCGCCAGACAGTGGCATGGACAATCCCCATGCGTGAGGTCGATGCTTCTAAGGTTGCGTTCTCCCGAAGCTTCTAGGAGAGGCTCAAGTTCCATCATTTTCTCATGCACCACGTCGACTTCTTCCGAGCTTGAAGCACCTACTGCGGGTTTCCCCACCACGTTCTGCTTCCCATGATCACTTGCATTTTCGCTCTCGAAGCCTAGAAGTTCTTCACCCCAGATTTCACTCAAGTCATCTCTTTGCTCCTTTGGTACTGCTCCTCGGATCTTCCTCAATAGCTTGTGTGAGTGGTGTGACATCCGAGCTAGTCTCACGCACTTGGGCACTGAGAAGGCTTTGTCTATCATCACCCTCTGGCTGGACACCTCCACCATCGCCATGTGTAGTGGATAGTGGCTCCCACATAGGTTAGCCAACACTGATCCCACTAAGGATTTTGCATTTAGAGGCAATCCATAGGCTTCGCTCATGGGAAATCCCATCTCTGCCTCGAGTCCGATCTTCCAACTCTTGATGTGCTTCTGGTTCACTTGTAGCACTCCGGGCCATGATTCCACGCTTAACGCGGTCACCAGGTGATGTTCTGACTCTAGCCTCTCCAGTGACTGGAGACTGCACATTCTTGAGAAGAATCCCAAGGCTGTCGCTAGGTTCACGGTGGTCCTCGCGTAACATTCAGCCACTATCTGTACCTCACTCTTCTCCCTTTCAGTGATATCTTCAAACCAGGTAGTGAGGTCCTCTTTCT